GTAAAGAGACGCAATTGTCAGTTCAAATTCAAGAGTGATAGCAAAAGTAGAAGTATTAGCAGTAATGGAGTGAAGATATGATTCGAGAAGTGTAATTCAGTAAGATAAATTTAGAAGGAGAAAGATAGAGATGATGAGGAATTCAGAAGGTAAGAATTAGAGAGAACACAAAGAGTGGATGCACTTGCGCCATTGCAAACGATTCTGAGCAATGTCGTTCAAGGTCCCTAACCATCAGTGACTATCGTCTCGCGGACCCCAACCACTTAGCCTACATCTACCAACATGACTCAATCAACTTGTCAGTGACTTCATGGATTTGTGCCATGTTTTGGTTTGGCCGCCCCTAACTTTCTTCCAACCTACTCCTACACCACAAAACATAGCTCGACGAAGCAGTCGGTGGTTAGGCATACGTAACACGTGTCCCAACCATCACAACTGATGAAGTTTCAGTACTTCATCTATTGATTTGCCATCCTTACCTAGAACTCGTTTCCTAACGACAGCATTGCTCATTCGGTTGTCCCACGATATATGACGTATATATATAAATCTCAACAATGCGCACCTGTAACATGAAATTTGTACTATGAAATTGAGATCCAGGTAGATTATGAATCAATTTTAATTTATGGACAGTAAATCACGTAAAAAAATTATTCATGAGTAAAATGAAAGCTGAACTCCGCCAGTAGAACCTTAGGGGCTACTGCCGGTCCCAAGCCCGTATAAAGGAGGAGGGTTGGACATGGGGTTGGCGACCCCATTCCGTTGAAATCTCACTTGCCAAAAAAAACGCTAACCAGAAAAAATAATTCAAACCATTTTAACTCTGCCATGGGAGTTGGAAGAAGAATTATGACGTCGCGTGATGAAAGCCGAGTTCCCTCGGAAGTCACGGGGCCGATCCCTCTTCTGACAACCAGAGCAACCATTTTTTTAGGTACATGGAACGTTCGTACATTGTGGGAGACTGGAAGACTATTTCAAGTTGCGGCAGAAATGAAAAGATACAACCTCGAGGTGCTTGGCATCAGTGAACTGTGGGAGAGAACAAGTCAGATTCCAGTGGAGGAGGAAATCAGGAAGAGAAGGTGGAAGTGGATAGAACACACATTTCAGAAAGCACCTAACTGCGTCACGAGGCAAGACCTCACATGGAACCCTCGAGGCCAAAGGAAAAGAGGAAGGCCAAAGAATACATTACGCCGAGAAATAGAGAAAGATATGAGAGGAATGAACAAACATTGGACAGAACTGAAGAAGGAAGCCCAGGACAGAGTTGGTTGGAGAAAACTGGTGGGCGGCCTATGCTCCATTGGGGGTAACAGGCGTAAGTAAGTAAGTAAGTTATTTATAATAGAAAGTGAATGTTTTATATTAACAACGCAGAATTAAACAAGACTGATTAAAAGTAGACTAATTTATTTTATTCAACATTAATGAAATAACATTTATTAATTGAAGAAATATTGCAAAATGATTTGTGATAATTATTATCAATAATTTAAATTTAAATTTGAATTAGTGTTTAATCGAAAATTTGATATATTAGCGGCATATATCATTCACATGAATCAATAAATTCACTGAGACATATAATTTATCAATGAAATACAATTAATTATTGAAATATACAACAAAATATTATGGTAAACATTGAATTTCTCATTTGCAATCATGAATCAACCATTATTAGACCAACGTTAGAAACTTGAAAGCATTGGATAGCTGTCTCGTCCTGATATATATGTATATGGACTCATTAGCTGTGCGCATTCATGACTCCCGGTCACGGGAATCGAACCCAAGACCTTCGGTCTGCTGTGTGAGTGCTTAACCTCTAGATCAATGACCTGGCGTCCACCAGTGTTGATGTCTAATTTTTTGGTTAACCCATGCATGGTGTTGCGGGATGAAAATCCATTGTCTGCGGCATTTTTTACACCCACAGCCAACAGGTCAATATCAACTGTCAAGATTCGGGTAGTAAGTTATTATAAAAAATAAACTGATTTGTTTGTATATTCAGTGAAATAATACATTGAACATACTCATCAATCTTTAATCAGAATAATAGTAAAAATTTTTTTAAAAATTCCATTTAGGTGATAGACAGTTTTTTAAACTAAATATCATCTCCAAAACTGTTTGATTTTGCTAGCTTCTGTGTATTAGTTATAAGTGTTCAAGTTAAATTTTTAAAACTACAACTGATCCCTATTCTTCTTAATAAAGTCTAGTAAAGTAACATTGTCCAATGTACAGAGGAGAGAATTGTTTTTCATGCCAGTATGTAGTTGCTATTTAATTTTTTTCAAAATAATAATTAATTTTATTAAATAACATTAAAATCAATAATTGAATAAAAAGTTCGATAGAGGAACGTGTGTAGGTCTGGATGTAGTAGCCTGAAATAAATAGAAACTTAATTAGTAATTTTTTTTAGACAAACAACATATATATACATGTGGTACATGAGATAAGACTCAGATTG